CCCCTCCTCCCTCGCAACCCCCATAGCCGACAGAGCTGCTCAACTCCCCGCCACTGTGGCGGAGGCTAATACTCTATCTGAACAAGAATGAGCTCGTGGCGTCGCTTACAAAGTGAACGACTTTAAACCGAAATGTATGGGAGCTCCCTCCATCGTCAAACGCACTCACATTTCTTTTCTGGGAGCAAACTACAAAACAGAAACATTTTTCTCACCGTAATTTTTTTGGATACAAGAAAAGTAAAATTACACTGTAAATGTAAAGGTGAGGTCAGCTTTTGTAACCACCGGACTTCTGTGAGCATAATTTTCCTCAGACATGTAGAGTGTACACACCCACATTTCTCTAACATCTTTTAATATATTTACATGTTTCGGGGCGGTCCTTCCCCTTCCGTCACAGCTCCGCGTATGGGGGGCAAACAGCGCAACGACAGGCGAGCGAACTAAACGGGCGGCACAGACACATGGATGATGCCGAACACGCGTGTTCGCCCTTGCACATTCCTTCAGGAGAGAGAGAGAGAGAGAGAGAGAGAGAGAGAGAGAGAGAGAGAGAGAGAGAGAGACCCCGTCTCAATTCTGTTAAGGGAATTGTCTCTATGGAGCAGGAAATATAGAAAATATCTGTTCGACCGCGAGGAAGCCGTGATAGTATTTTCAAACGCGTTTTACGTTTTTTGATTGTGTTCTTTGTTTTTTTGTTTGTTTTTAAAGCACCATAATAATAATAACCCTGTTTTGTTTAGCCCCCCGCGGTTTTGGAGCACCTCCCGGCCTCCCCGTCGGGCTGCAGTTTCCGCCGCGCTGCAAAAGTCCCCCGCCGAGCCTAGCACGCCGTGAATATGGAGGAGAGAGAAAGAGGGAGAGAGAGAGGGGAGGTGGTGGTGCTAGTGAGGAGGTTAGTGGGGGCAGGGGGGAAGACGTTAGGCCGACGACAAAGTTCTCACGTTGCACAGCAATTGGAATAGCTCGTACATAACCCTAGAGTAGACAGCGAAGAAGCTAGCGGCGGCGGCGGCCTGGGGCTCCTCCCCCTCTCCAGCGCCAACCACCCTTCTCCTTCACCTCCGGAGGCACTGGGCGGGGTGATAAGGGGGATCAGTCCTGAAAGAGGTTTAAAGAGAGAGAAGAACAAGACAACTTCCTACCTCCTCAACCCCCTTCCCACTCCATCCTCTCTCCGCAGGCCTTCTCTCTCTCTCTCTCTCTCTCTCTCTCTCTCTCTCTCTCTCTCTCTCTCTCTCTCACGCCTCGACGCCTCACCGCTCGAGCGGGGTGGGACATGGCTCACCTGCTCAAATCAGCCGCGGACCACGCCCGAGTAGGCCTCCTCCTCCTCCTCCCCCCATCTGGTGTGGCGCTGATGCCCCGGGAGCATGCATCGATCAATCGATCGGCCATAAGACACTATCGTCGTGTGAACTCAGCTGGCCGCGCAGAAGATAAAGAGCCAGACTATGCGCGGGGGAGTAAATGGCGAGCAGAGTGAAATAGAATGAAAAGTGCAAAAAGAAAAAATAAAGGAGAAAAGTCAGGGGGAGAAAGAGCAGTCCACGTGCACCTCGCCGGAGAAGTCAGCACGACCCGCGGGTCCCATAAAAACGAGTAAAATGAGGTTAAAACACGCCGTAATAGGAGAGGAGGTGACAAAGCAGGTGGTGCTGAGGCCGAGGGTCCCCGCCCAGTTCTCCCCCCTCCCCTTCACCATCATTTGTTCTCTCGTGCTCCACGTCTGCTCTCGTGAGCCTAGCTGAGCTGATAGCCTGCGCCCTTTGCCCGCTGGAGAGAGAGAGAGATAAAGAGAAAGGGCCAGAGAGAGAGAGAGAGAGAGAGAGAGAGAGAGAGAGAGAGATCGGAAAAGAAACAAGCCAGAGCCCTCTTCCTCAAGAAACACTTCGGCAGAGCCCCCAACGCCTGCAAGAAGCCGGTAGGCAGCAGGCGGACACCCGTGTACTGCGGGATTGCCTACTTCCCGGGGCCCTCCAGGACAAGGAGAGCGCCCGTGAGATAGGCAACGGGGGGACACGTCAGCTGAGCGCACGGCCTAACTCGGGGTCTGCAGGCGCACTGCTGGAAGGAAGCGTTCGTAGTGAGTGTCAGAGAGAGAGAGAGAGAGAGAGAGAGAGAGAGAGAGAGAGAGAGAGAGCAGGAAAAGAAGGTGGGGGAGCGCACCGAAGGGCATCCTGGGTGGAGCTGGGCGGAGCAGCTGTTCCTATGGCGCGCGCCAGATTACTTCCAATGCAAATAAATCGGAACACGATAGAGTATAGAGAGAAGAAGGGAGTGAGTATGAAAGGGGCGGGCGGACGACGCATCTGCGTTATATAGTCATCTGTTCGACGCTCGGTCTAATTCTTCGAAGAGGCTTCGATTCTTTGATATACTAGATACACCTTTAATATAGTGTGATGTGGCTCACGCCTTACAGATGTGTTGAAAACTTTAAAACTTTGCGTAACTTTTTAAAACTCATGTCTTGTTACTTTTTGGAAGGATTTTTTCATACAGTAGCACAAAAGAATCCTGATTTTTGAATGCCTACGGATGAGTATGTAACAGCAATTATAAACGATACTTTTGGTTTAGTCCCACATCCTCACCATAGCCGCTATGCAGATCTTACGTTAGTGCAATAAGCGGTGGGGTCAAGATCCGGTCAAAGGGAAAGAGTGAGGTGCAGGAAAGGAAGTGACGCAGTCGGGGAGGGGGGGGGGGTGCAGGGGAGAGGGGAGGGCTGGCGAAGCGAAGGGGCGGCGCCAGGATGGGTCGGCAATCGTATAAAGATTGTGATAAACGGGAGGGTGGCTGAGAGCCGCTGAAAGCAGTGCAGGCGGCATGGAGGCAGGGCTTACCAATCGAGCAGTAAATTATCGTTGTTCTACACTGAAAGGCAAAACAACGAGCTCCGACAGGAATATTTTTCAAAACTGCATACGTATGCTCATGAAAGTCGACAATAATTAGTATTTATAATTTTCGAACAAGTTTGCGAGTAGAGATCGAGTATTCTCACTTGTAACAAAACTGAAGACAAGCGGACAAAAATAAAATGTCAGTTTTATAAAATACAATGTCTAGTCAATTCTTTAATTTTTGTCAAATCCAGTTTTTTTTTCGGCACAACGCGGGCGCTGGCGCTGGGCTGTTGTGGCGATAACGGGGAAATACTGTCGTCCAGCTTCACACAATGCCAGCAATCAGTTCTCATTGTCGCAATTGTTATTCCATTCCGCTGCGGTTCGATTGGTGCGGAGCGATGAGGTGGGCGTCACTCCCTCAAGGCAAACGCGTGACATGTGCTGGGCAGCAGGAAGAGAGTTACAGGTTTACACATCACGTTCTGAGACCATATCGCAGTTTTGGAGTGATGCCAGCAGGAGTGAGATGGTCTGCGCGACTACCAGACAGAGACGCACAGAGAGAGGAGAGAGGAGAGAGGAGAAAGGAGAGAGGAGAGAGGGAGAGAGGGAGAGAGAGAGAGAGAGAGAGACGCACACGCAGATATGCAGTGACGACGACTTGCTTTGATCGACGACCTACGCATCAGAATCATTTCCGTTTTCGGAATAACTTCCGTTTCCGAGAAACCAATCAGGCGTCAGCCGGAGGGGAGTGGAAAAGAGAGAGAGAGAGAGAGAGAGAGAGAGAGAGAGAGAGAGA